TTACATATATAATGAATGTATGAGCTGCACAACTGCATATTACAATCACTTTCATTATTAGTTAGTTCCAAAAATTATATGAAGTGGTTATTTAAGGAACTAGAAAAAGAAAAGGTGATATTTTTGAAGGCTTGTGATTGATTTTAGTAGTTTTAGAGCAGTAACGTAAACAAGGAACATATGTGATGTTTCGAAATAATTATGTATAATTTCTAATGGTGTTAACAATTCTGTACAAAACTTAAATATAATTCTAGATTCAAATTGTACTGTACGCCATCTGGTGGCGGTTTTACTACAATGTGTAAAATGGATTGATATTAAAGTATCTAACAGAATATTGTTTATGTGTGTTTGAGTCTAAGTTTATCTCTGGTAAATGTTATCTGAAAAAAGGATTACTGAACATCCAGTATCAATCACCACATCTACAGTTTCATCACATGGTTCCTTTTTCATCACGTATATCGTTTGGTCTGAGAGCTAATGACACTCGAAAATTCAGTGTTATGATATTGGATTTGTTAATAATGTGAATAAGTATATTCCATACTTTGACAAAACTTTGGGATCTGGCGGTTAGGATCCTCGACTGGCAATCTGAGATCCGCGAGATCTCGACTTGCAATCTGAGAGCCGCGGGATCGAAATTCGTCAAGGAATATATTCACTCCTTCAGTCGTAGTAGCATTATAATGTAACGGTTAATCCAGGTGTTATTTGGAAAAAGAGTAATTCAAGAGTTAGCGGCAGGTGGTGTTGACTAGCTGCTTTCTCCTTAATCTATCACTCCCAACGTCCCACGACCTCGAGTAGTTTTGTGCTAAATTCAATAAATAAACTTGAACCATAGAATTACGATGGTGATTCGTGTCTTGAACTGTATTCTTTCAAAACAACTGAAGAGAACGTGAAATATTTGCACTGGAAGAATTGAAGATACATTTATAACCACAGCAGATAAATGCATTCCAATTGTAAACATAGATCAAAATAATGATACGCTTAAGTCTAACACACTAAGTAAAGAACAGTTTACAAAATTACCAAAAATATACAAGTAATTTTCTCTCCAAAAGACAAATAAACAGAAATCCCTAAATAAATTATAATAGGAGTCAAAAACACGGATGCTAGAGCAACAAACATTTATGGCGGTTTAAAAGTATACAAAAATCCGAACAGTTCTCTCTACATATGCATCATTTTTCTAAACTCTTTATGTACCAAATTGTTTGTAGGTCCACGAGTCAAACAGATAAGTTTAAACAAGTATTTTGCAGGTAATCTTGTTAGGTTCTCTAGGGTTTTCTATATATTTTACATCGAAAATGAGTTATTTCATCTTATTTTTTGCCCGTTCTTTATAGTCAGTGTTATAACATAGGGCACTTTCATCATCCGTCAAAACTGTGAAATTCATCAACCTCCAAATTACAGAGTTCTTATAAACATTATACACATTAAGTGCCCTATGTTATAACACTGACTATAAAGAACGGGCATCATCATCCGTCAAAACTGTGAAATTCATCAACCTCCAAATTACAGAGTTCTTATAAACATTATACACATCGAGACGCTAAAATGGCCTATTATTGGATGATAAAAGACAACTGTTGTTTGTTGTTGTTGTGTGTATGTATATGTATTGACGTCATATCATTATTTAATTTATCAGAGAGTCGCTATAGAAAACATCCCACTATTCGGTGGTAGAAGAGTAGCCCAAGAGTTGGCGGTGGATGGTGATGACTAGCTGCCTTCTCTATAGTCTTATACTGCTAAATTAGGGACGGTTAGCTTTACACGAAATTCAAAACAAACATATATAGAAAACATGGAAGATGAATATCATCTAAGAATGATCTTATCGCTTGTAAGGGCAACCTGGTGAATTTTAATAGGGTTACCTGTTTTAACCACTATACACTAATATGTTGCCTGTCGGTCAGTACCCTAAAATGACATCACGTAAGGGACACTTAACGTTACAAATTGGTCTTTCGGGACTTCAGTAAAACATGCGCATCCCATGAATCACGAAAAGAATTATGCACTCTGTAGGCTTCAACACAGTATGGCATGTGAACATCAGAAGCAAGAAATATAAATATTTATTACTCTTAATTTTGGTTTTATTAACTTTTGAGACAGAACACTTTCGAGGAAGTGCATCTAGTTATAAATTTCATTTCTTCTAATAAACTACAAGTCTACTCAGTAAGTAATTAATTCTCAATTTTTGTATAGAAAGACAGCAATTTGCGACATATTAATATCCCTTGTTCTATAAAGGAGAGAAATGTAAAAGTAACTAGTAATGTTTTTTTATTTTTCTACAGAAATTCTGAAACAAGCAGAAACGTTTACGAGAACTGTTAAAAGTACATTAGTACGTTTAGTTTTTTTTGTTTTGTTTTGTATGTGTGTGGCCTCCTTTTGACTTGAACCAATTTGTGCCATATCTCAGTGGAGTAACTATCGATTGACCCATTGGCCTTTCTTGACACACGTCACGTACTGAAGTTGGCATTTATAACAATACAAGTCACCTGGATATAAGAATCTCGTTTATTGTGTGATGTATGTTGTCATACAAAAAAGCTGTTGCAGGAAATCACCAATATTAGTCGCAGTGATTATAGAAAATATAAGATAGGATTAAAACTAATTCTGACTGTAGTTTTTAAGAGCTGAATGTTAAATAATTTTATGTAAATATTGTTTGTGTTGAAACTCTTACCAGCTAAAGCTATTTTCACACAAATAGTGAAACTATTTGCACCTTCACTGTTATTATTAACTAACCGTTAAAGATTCGGTTTGAAACACCAAAAGCTGGCGAAGCATTCTAAATCAATTTAGGACACAAATCACGTTACGCTACAGATGCTTTTGTGTCTTACATATTTTTAGTTTTTCTATTATTGATTTCAAATCAGAGGTGTATAAAAACGGCATTTCAGATTTTGTTTTATTACCCACAGCCAATTCTTTCAGTCTACCCAGCTGTTGGTTGGGGTTAACCTGCGATGGATTGACACCCCACATCCAGAAGTGTGTCAACATTATCATCCGCTAGAGTTCAGCACTGGAGTATCCTATGTGCTATCTCGGCGTGAAATGGATTTGATCTTGACCTGACAGCTTCTTAGGATACTTCCCGTTCAATACCAACTGATGAACATATCGCTTCCTGTGATCGTGAGTTAATTCCATACAGTTGTGTGAAAGCAGTGAAGTCTGCAAGGTCTACCTTGTTTTGAACTTTCTAAGAAGGTTGTAATTATTGTTAGAAACCTAATTTTTATGTTTATATTTCAGAAATGGAGTTAGTTTCAAAGGAAATAAATTAACTTCTGCTGAATACATCAGCGAAGATGCTTCGTAACCCTTGCGAAGGAGAAAGAAAAGTTAACCGATTTTTCGATGGCAAAAAAAAAAAAAAAAAATCTTATTTAAAATGCTCCCTTTCTAAAAAGGAAATGTTCTTTTCAGATGTATTTTTTTTAAATACAAGAATAACATAATTAATATTACCAAAGACACAATTTTACATTTGTGATTATAATAGACTTGAGTTGTGAAAATGGAATTTCACAGCCACTACGAAGTGCTAATACTAGTTGATGCGTAGCTTTCAATAAATCCCCCGACTTCACTTCACATAAGTTAGGGGAAAATGATTTTTTTTTGGACCTGAAGAGGATGCTCCTAAGTTGTTTGAAGTTGCATATTAGTCTCAGAGTTTGTTATTTCCTTCAGCGGCCTCTACGTGGTTAACTCATTGTCAATTTAGACGTAAGCCTAATATTCGAAATAAAATCCAGATAACAGGTCTTCTATATTTTGAGTTTCAAGTTAGAGGTGTATTAAATTTGCAATAGAGATTAATGAACACAAAACTACATGGTAGTTCTTAGTTGATTTTAACCTGAATTCATAATCTACATTAAGGCCAAAAATCTAAAAGTTGGTGATAAATTTCCACATCCTCCCATCTACTAGTACAAAATTTACTTTTCATAGTTGGGTCGTTTAGACTTTGATTTGAGGAGTTTAAGACCAGCACATAAACAGATTTATTATTTCCAACGTATATAGATTTTGACGAGGGTCGAATGCCATCTTCTGTGTAGATTTGGCCAGAAATGTAAGCGAAAATAACCAGGAACAAAAACGCATCCAAGATGAGCTTAAAAAACAAAACAACAAGAAAATAGTTTTTTTTTTTATTTTTTTTTTTTTCTCTTTCTTTCTTTCTTTCGGACTAATCATATTCTTTGAAGAAAATCTTTAAAAAAACAGGCATAAGATAGTTTTCGGATGCCCTCCCCATAATGTTCTGCATTTGTTGTAAAACAGGACACAGAAGAAGATTTTACTTTTTTTGTGGTGGCGGGGAGGGGAAATATATTAAAGTAATGGTTGAAGAAGCAAAATAATGTTAAATTAGAGTTTCTGTTGGGGGGGGGGGCTGAAGAATTAAAGTTCTACATTTGATAAATATGGCCGTTACGAAGGTATACCAGTTTAAGACTAAGTAGAAAAATATTGCGAAATCTAATTACGTTAAGATAACAAGTATTACAAAAAAACGTTTGAATTTGTTTATTTATTCAAAAGTGCATCTTATTATTTTACACATAGTATTTAAAAAACATCAACACTACGTTAATCATAGAGAATTCCAATGTTTCATTAAAAAAAAATATTTTTAGAACACTACATTAAAATGAATACGAGAAATTTAATCAAGCCCAACAACTTTTCACGAAGAAACGCTTTGAAATTTATAAGAATATCTAAATATTCATTTGGGGAGGAGGGCGATATAGTTACGCATTTCACATTGAAAAATAGCGAGACCATACTTGTACTGAAAAAAATACAACTTTCAATAACGATTCTTCCAGTTAACTGGTTACATTTTCTGTATATACACAAGACAAATAAATTGTGAAAAAAAAAATGAAAGACCAAGTAAAAATTACAACTCTATAGTTCCAATTCTACATAATGTAGAAATACTTTAATTTTCCGTTTAAAGTGTATATCCAAGGTAAAAATCCACACAGCTCTTTCATTGATGAAGTTAGTTCATAGAATTAGATACTGGTGTGAAAATAAAATGAGTTATAATGTTTAGGATACATTTGTTCCGATACTTGTGCAGAGTCTTGATCCAGGTTCAGAAACAATTTTACTTTTCCAGGCAGACTGTCCTGACAAGTACTTCGGCCACGGAATATGGGTCGCAGTTTGAAGAAGGACGTCTGTCTTCCAAGTATCCTTTACGTTCCTCTGCCACTTGCCGAGGGATACGGATACTAGCCCCTCGATTGGCCACACCTGCCGAGAAATCGTGGATGCTTGATGTTTCATGGCGCCCTGTAAGTCGCCTTGCATTGTCCTTTCCCTCGTTGGGGTCGTATGCACGAATGTGCAGTTCGTGCTTATTACCCAGTCGCTCAATGGCCTGTTCGATCACACTAGATTAAGCAAACGATTGTTAATGTTCAATTTCAAATAAAAGTATTTCATTTAAAAATAAATAAGAATGCTTTCCTATAGTTTTCATGCAGTTTCAATGACATTTTACCGATAACGTGAATAAACTATATGAAAAAATGCTAAAAAATGAAGCCTAAATTCAGTATACTTTTATCCATTTTAAAAAGATGACATCCAAAATAACTAAAGGAATTCCTGTGTGTTTTAGCCTCTTTAAATTGCCGCATAAATATAAAATTCAAGTTAGGAATTTTGTGCTTTTGTTTCCTTTACGTTGCAGATTCTAAAAGTTAAGTATCAAAGTATGCAACTCACGCCAAGCCATCCTCCTCTCTCATTCCCAGAGTGCTGAAATTTGTGTGCGCGCCAGCTCCGTTCCAGTCACCAGGTATTGGCTTGGGATCGAAAGAAACTACCACACCAAAGTCTTCAGCTACTCTATGCAAGATAAATCTAGACATCCAGAGGTCATCCCCTATGGTTATTCCTTCACATGGCCCAACTTGGTACTCCCACTAAAAATACGATAAAAAGAAACATTTTAACTGTAAAAGTTAATGTGGATAGCACTTACAGTAAAAGAAAAAACTGGCAGGATTCTATAAAAGGCGATTTTATTCGAATACCAAGATTGGTGCATCAGGTGGAAAACGAAGTTATTATAAAAAAAAACAAAAAAAAACACTAATACCAAAAGACATCTTTAATACGAACGTTTCGGAATTTTCTTAAAATTAGATCATTAGCGTTAATATCTATTTATTTGAAAAAAAAAAAAAAAATAGGTTCATAATATTCGAATTATAAAAACAACATTAACATCTTAAATTCTCGACTCCGGATCCACAGATTACGAACTCTATTCAAGAATGCCTCTCCATTTTCAGTGATCACCCAGGTTTTCAGTAATGTAATCAATTCTAGATTATCAGTATTTATTTGATATTTATTATTATTATTATTATTTTAAAGATAATGTTTATATTTATATTTAAGCCTCTCTCTCTCTCTCTCTCCAAGTTTCTCTTAACAATATTATTTATATTAAACACGTGTTTGCTGCTAACTTTTATCGTAGTATTCCATTATATTGTTACTTAGTTTAAATTTTGTTTTACTAAACTTCAGTATTGAATAACGAAACTCGATAACTGCTAAT